CCCCATCCCTGGAAACATTCCAGGTCAGGTTGGCCGGGGCTTTGAGCAACCTGATCTAGTTGAAGATGTCCCTGCCCATGGCAGGGAGGTTGGACTAGATGACCTTTAGAGGTCCCTTCCAACCCAAATAATTCTGTGATTCTATGATTCTATGACTTTATTATTATGAAGCTTTTATTGTATTTTATAAAAACATATGTGGAAAAAAATGTCTGTTTATTTGCCAGGTAAAAGAGAGTTTAATATTAAAAGTAGAAAAATCTGTATGAGTAACAGAAGATATCATTGTTAATCTAAGTAAAGAAAAGAAAGAGCTGACCAATCTTTGGGCAGTCTGGAATTTTAAAATTACTCAGTTAAAACCCATCAAGCAACAGAGCCGGATATTTAAAGAACAACTAAAAAATGTAAGTAAAATAGCTAGAAGAAAGCAACTGTGGCAAACATTTGTAGACTGTTATTAGTTTGTTTGTGATTCTCTCATCAACTATTTAAGAGAGGTGATCACTAGGTACTTCTCCATAGTCTGTTCTACCATTCAGATAGTCATCAAGAAACATGAAATGTTTTTGATCTTTTTTGCCCTTATTCAAACACATACAAGTCTAAGTCCCCACTTCAAATTTTAAGTTTTAATCAAGCCCATATACTATACCAGCAGTGCTTTATTTTTATTTTTTTTAAAAAGCATAATTTTGTTGTGATTTAATACTTACTAAACTAAACTGTGTCCTAATAGTTACTAAACTAATGTCCAACCATATTCATAAGGAAAGAGGATTGAAACCTCCTTGGCACAGGGACAGTGTGCAGTGCTCCTTAAAAGCAACACTAGCTAGGCTAGTAGCAGAACCAGAGGTGTGTAGCTACTGTTTGTCTAGTGCAACTTATCACTAAACCATGATATCTGTTATCACAGAAAATACACTGTGTGTATGGGTCCTCCGGTCTCAGTGTCTGAATAATTTTTACACACTGTCTTAGACATTTCCTATCACCCTTGACAGTCAGAGGGTTTGGGACAGAGAGGTTTATAGTTTAAAAAAAATAAATTAGTCATCTTAACTTCAGAATCTCTCCTTTTTTTTGTTGTTTTTTAACCAGTAATCTCTTAATTAAATTTACTGACAGCATTTGGGTGTCTGGTTTGGGGAAGGTTCTTGTTACAAATTTAGATTTGAGTTTAAATATTTTTTTTATTTATTTACTACAGATAGAAACACTGAACTGTTTGATTATCTTTTAGACTGCCCATGGATTAGAGATTCTTCAAGAAGCACTCCAGCTTACAGCAACAGTTGACCTTGGAAGTGACCTTTTTATTGTTTTGGAGCTACAAAAAAAGCTTAACCAAATGAAACCACAGTATCAGGTGAGAAATCAAGCTAGTGAATTGCACAGTGGATCAAAAGCTCTTTTTGGTACAGTAAAGATTCACATTCACATTGACCCCAGACAGAGTGTCTGGGGTCACAGTCTTTTATGTCTTACATTACTTTTCCAGAAGGAAGGGTTTGTGTGTGTTTATAAGGTAAGGGAGAAGACATTTTACCTTCGGTGTCCAGAGAATATCTTGCGCGGTGTTAGTTGCATATTAAAGTGGCACATAAGCATTGGGGTGGTGGAAGTACAAGGAGAGTACCAGCTTCATGCTTTTGAGCTAGAGCTGGTAGGAGGCTGAAGTATGTCATACTGAGCTTCCTACCTCCTCTGAATACTGTCTCTGAGTTTTAGCTATTCAATCTGCCATCCCCCAACAAGTCAGTTTGACTTGTTTTGATCCAAGGCTGTTTCTGGGTGATAGCTGAGATTCATGCCTAGCAAAAAGTAAAGTATGTGGAGAGTGTTTTAAAGAGCATGCGTTGATTTTTCCCCAACGCTATTTACCATTGTTAGGTTGTTATTTAATCAAATGTAAGGGAAAACTTGCAAATATATTTGTGTAATTTGAGTAACTTCTGCTTTTTTGCTAGCAACTGAATGCTGAGCTTGAGTACCTGATAAAATTATTAGAATTGCCAAGCCAGAAAGGATTTCCTGTGAAAGAGAATTCTGAGAGAATAAGTGAGCTTATTCATCTCCGTCAAATGGTAAAGGACACAATGACAGAATATGTTGAGATTTTCAACCAGACAATCAAGTTCCATCACATTAAAAAAGAAGTGAGTATAATCTTTTAAAATATCCCTTATTCCCATTGCAGCTAAACTCTTCTTGGTTTTGGTGACTGTCGTCTTTCTTTTTTTTTCCCCAAACAAACAGCATTAACCTGCCTGGTGATCAGAATTAAAATTTTGGATCTAAAACTGCATGAAATTTGGAAAATTTAAAATTCAGATCTGAACCCAAATTTAATTACTTAAACCCACATCAACAAAGTTTAGGGTAACACATTATGGGTAAGGAAGGAATCGTAAGCTTCCTTTCACGTTATTTTAAACACACACTGATTTTCATTTTAATATATCCCAGCTGGAATGTCTGTCAAAATCAGGAGAACTGGATATTCCTGAAATATGTGAGGACCCTGAAAATGTGCATCATGCTAAAGCCTGCCTTGTGAATGCTCAGGAGAAACATGCACATATCAGACAGCTATATAAACTGCTTATTACCCAGGGAGTGGATATCTTGTCTGCAGTGCAGCAACCTGTGAGTAGAATTAGAATGATTTGTGAAATCAAGGATAAGTATGAAAGAAGTTTATTGGAGCTGTCTGACTTTTAGATGTACAAAAATGTATTAATACGCTGAGAAAAATAAATACAGAGCTTTAAGATCCTTTTAAAAGAAAGCAAAACATAAAGTGTAAAACAGCTGATCATTTTTAGATTTCTACTTTTAGAGTTTGCAGATATACAGCCATCAAATTAAATGAAACATCCAGGAATGATGAAACTTATCCTTCAGTAGTTACTCACATTATGAATTACTTTTGCCAAGAGAAAAGAAAAATTAATTTATTTGAAATCTTGTTTTAATATTTTAATGGTATGTGAACAGATCTTACTCTGTAAAACATTGAAATAGATTTGAAATAGGGAGGAAATTAATCTTAAAATATCAGCGCTTGGAAAAAAAAAAGCATGACTTTCTGTTCTGAAGTGCAGTTCAAGGCCTTGTTGGTGATTTCTTGAATGCCACATCTATATGTTAGACTCCTGCTACTTTGTAAAGGTTGCTTTGCATATTTATTCTCCTATAAAGAACGGATAACAAAAGAACAAAAAGGAAGTATAACAACAGTGGTACCCTTATTAGTGCATTCCAGACTGATTTGCATGGCAAAATGCATAAGGAGTGTTATTCAGGGCAGGATTGTCATTGCCCTGTATTCGTTTATTAGGGAGAAAGCAAGACATTCCCTTATGAACTGCCTAGATTATCCACATTGCCAGTCTGCTCTTCAGACTCCATAAATTGATTGACAGCAGAAAGGAGCTAATCTCCAGGTGGTAAAGGACTAGAGTAGGCCAATTCCTCTTTGCTCAGAGAAGACACCATGTGCAAGTTGTGACTTTGACCCAAAACTACTCCCCAGACTACTAGTGATTGAAACTGCTACGTACTTGCTCTCGTTACACTGGAGGTTTAATAGCTTACTTTAGCCCATTGTGATTGACTATGCATGTTCTGCCTCAAAATGATTTTCATTTTAGATTGGTTAAATCAATACATTTCCTAAGATTCATAAGTTTCTTTGTCTATTCCCTGTTTAGAATTACTTGAATGTTTCTGTAAAGAATCTGAAGCAAGAACTTGCTAGATTTGAGTATGATAGCATTAACTGGAGCTCCAAATCCAATAAATATGAGGAAGAACTGTCACAGAATTTCCAACACTGCACCACTCAAGAGGAGATAAATGAGGTAAATGAGATAAATCCCAACACATTAAATGACTTTTAAAAGGGCTGTTGTGTTCTGTAATATATGTTACTGTTTACTATTCCCCTAGATACTTCATACGTATACAGAAAAGTTGATTTTCATCTTACCAGCAACCTTTGATCCACACAGCAACAGTAATAATCTGCGGTCCATAGCTCTGCAGTTCAGGATTATATCAAGTTGTTGGGCTGGCAATAAAGTGCTTTCACTGTACCAAGAGGACTGGAAATAGAGCAGCTATATTTTCTTTGACTTTCAGCTCAGTCAGCTTCATCTGAAATACATGAGTCTTCAGATTTCTTTCTTACGAAGCTAAAGTTTCAAACAAAAATAGAATTTACATACATTGCAGTTGTAAGGCTATTAGAAAGAACTTTCAGTCTTTTAATGAAAAGTTCAGAATAATTTAGTACTTAACATTTTTTTCAGAAACCCAAGATATGATACTTAAAAAATTGCTAGAAGAAAAGGAAATGTTCTTTGGCACAAGATATTAGCATTTATTGTTATGGAACTTAGGTTAGTAAAAATAACTTTGTGACTATGTTAATATGTTTATTAATTTAGCATCTTAGTAGGCCAAATACAAATCCACTCACAACTTAGCAGGTTGAATTAGATAGATGTCTCAGCAAAAATTAATTCAGGAAAAATGTTCCATAGAATGAATTTTCTCAGAGTGATCCATCAAAATAAGAAGCTGATGGCCTCTAAACTTCATGTTCTGTAGATTGCACTTCTGTGCATCCATGAAGTATAGAAACTGGATTCTTACCTGGAAGGATTTCACACTAATGTTCCCTGTAATGTGAAGCATAGGTAGTGGAAACACAGGACACTGAAAGTTATATTTTCTTATTTTATCTTTCGCTAAGTAAATCCACACCTGAATAAAGAAAGACTGTATTTTCTTGACATCACCAAAGTAGAGGTGACTGAGCTTTCTGCCCCAACTATTTTTAATGAGAAAATTATTGTTTGGATTTTCTTTTACAAAATATTTTTGTGTGTTTGTGAAAAGTATCCGTTTTCACAAAAACATATTTTGAAATCGAAAGAACATGTGCATAAAAAAAAAGTTTTAGTTTTTTTTTTAATCTCAGTTACAGTTCTAGTCCCTTGTCAGTTATGAGTGTATTGCGCTCTGATCTGTGCATCAGTCTCCTGTGGTGTAACTTCTTGGCCTATGGTAGGAGGCAATAGGAACAGCAGGGAACCATGCTGTAGAAGAGAATGAAAGTATGAAGTACCTAAACAAGAAGTCCTATTATGCTTTGCAGTGGAATGGCAGAAGCAGAATATTTGAGGTTTGAACTAAAGTATTCTAGGTTTTTACTGAAAACCTCTCAAATTTGCTGAAGAAAAGGAAATGTTCACTGAACAACCTGTATGTAAGGCTGGCCATATTCAAAGACACACTGTTATATTAAATGAATCTCTTGTTTCTGTCCTTTGATTCTGGGGTTATATAATGAGGGCATGAGAATGTGACTCCTTTCTAAGAAGAATTATTCTTCTATTTTTATTACTTGTTAGACTTCCAGTGAAAGCAGGAAGTAGAGGAAAAAAGCAATCTGTCTCTCTCAAATTTAAATGAAAAGTGTGTCAGTGACACGTTACTCACCACATGCCCTATATTGCAAAATGTAATGTTTTTGCTTCTCATAGTTAATGGACACCCTCTGCAAAATAATTGCATAGCATATTTTCAGTTGGTTTTGTGGTGTTCTTTTTTTTTTCCCTCATTTTAAGTTGGGAAAGCCATGTTGGCTGGTTAAGTTAAAACGTGTCATCCCCAGACCTAATTGAATCTTGAATGTAAACTAACTGAAATATATTAATTTGGTGTGTGGATACCTTTTTCTTTATAGATTACTTTTCTATTAGAGGTTAGCATAGATGATATTTCCTAAACAAATACTTGGCTAATGTACCTGTATATGAATTAATCTACTACCATTTTTCTTCATTTTTTTCATTAAGTATTTATAACTAATTCTGTTTAAGGATCAAGAAACCAGACACTGAACTACTTCAGGAATGTTAGTTATGAGTGTTCACTTCAGTATTCAAAATTCTGTTAATTTTAACATCAGAAATTAGTCTGAGTATTGCTAGTATCTAGCAGACCTGTCTGAAATAACAATTTCTTTACCATCTACTATGTCTAAGCAAATAAATATTTCATATGCCAGCAGCAAGTAGCAGCTGTTCATAGTTGTCACATAGTAAACAGCCAACCAGATAATTTAGTTGTGATTTACCAGTGCACAGAGCAAACTTTAAAATTGACTGAAAATATTTGGAATTCTGCTGTAAAAAATTACTTTACATTTAATGTGGTGAATTTACGTGTATAAATAAAGCACGTGAGTGAGGGCTTTGGTGATTAGGACTCACTGGTGTTTGAAAATATCATTCTTAGAGGACTTGGCTAGGTCCCTGTGTTTGTATTATACACTTTCTGTGCCTTCCCTAATTTAAAGAGAATTTACAAAGGCCAAAAAAAAGGATTTATGCCCTCTACATCTTTGAAAGGTATAAGGAAAGCTCATATGACCTTTGAGATCTGTATTTGTCAGTTTGGGCTTCGTGCTTCCCTAACTAGCTTGGGTAGCAGCCTCCGAAGAGCCGCAACTCCACTGCATTACACTGCCATCACTTGCAATAGAGCTGAGTCAAGCCTCAGGTAACTGTAGCTTAATACTGTTCATGGGATTATAGGTGACACAGTTATTTACAGAAGATAATTTTTGCAATGAAAAAGCCTTTTCTTTAGGTGATTACTTAAAAATAACATTTATGCATGTCTGCACAAAACTTGCAACAGAAGAGTAACATCCTGAAGTAGGTTCTCAGCTCTCCCCAGTCATCTCACTTCTTTCCTCTTCATCATGTCATTATTTATACACTTATGAAAAGGTATGACTGAAACCGTGGATTTTAACCACAGAGGGTAAAGACCTATTTCTGTTCACAAGTCAGTAGGAACTGATACTTCTTAGCACGTTTCTCACCTTGTAATTTATTTTGATTGTGGTCCCAGAATTAAAGTAATGACTTGAACAGCATCTTTTCTTTCTTCCCACTTTTTGGCTAGCTTTGCTTCTGTCTGTTCTTTAATCTTTGCCACTTTCAAAATCTATTTTCAGCAACCTGCTTTCATGGGCTATTTTGATTATTAGTGCTACTAGAAGTTTTATGTATGAATAAAAAGGGAAGGGTAAGTGGCTAACAACACTGAAGTACCTCCTAAAGTGGCTCACACAGGAATCAAAGCATTTTACTGGAACCATACTGTTAACAAAAACATGTTTAAAACAGCTTTATAACTTGCTTTTTCCATTTATTTTCTAGTTGTGTGCTAAATCGGAGCAATTGACAGCTAAACCCCTCTCCTTCACTATCATTCTCCACCCATGACAGGACAACTATAGTTAGGAGCAACTGCCTGATTAATGACTATGACACAATGGACAAGTTACAAAGTTCCATTAAACTTGTGGGCTGAAGTCACTGAAGTGTATTAGGGTGTATAGTTCCTTTAGTATTTCTCATATAATTTTGCAGAACATAGTGGAAAAAAGAGACGTTTAGATTTCTAAAAATTGGCAGCCATATATCATCCTTGGTACAATTGCTGATGAGAACAGGGATTGTGTACATGCACTCTGAGGGAGCTGAATCTGGTTTTTCCACTGAGGCTAAAAGAGAAGAGTGACAGCAGCTGCAGACCTTTGACACATGAGCCATCATATCTGAAACAAGGTGATCTAATTTCACGTACTGCTATGAGGAGAGCCTCTGGCCTTAAAAATGATCACTAGCCTATGTATGTGCATAAGCCAGTGAAATAAACTAAAATAAACTCTTGCTCATCTCTTCTTTTCCTCAAAATTCAACCAGCAAATAAGACTCTCATCTTCTGAATACAAAATGTTGTTCTGCAGAAGTAGTTTTATTAACAGAGGGCTTTTAGATATATTTTATTTTTCTGTTTACTTAGGTGGGATAAAGAGCTTAAACTAATTGGAGACCACAGTGCCGGAGATAGAATTCCCCTTCCTTTCCATTACACTGAGTGAACACCATCTGTCTATTCACTGCTGAAATAATGTGGCAACATCCCACTAGATGAAAATGAAAAATATATCCCTTGATGGATTAACATTAGTATGTAATAATAATAATAATAATGATTGATTGCTAGCTGTTCCAATAACAGTAGCTGCAAGATGAGCATTCATTACTCCCTGGATTCTTTGGCGGGGAAGGGGCAAGGGGAAGTCTGTAGGACTTTTTAATATAAAAACCCTCAAATATGTTAACTAAATATCTAATTGTGGATGTGACCTGAACTTGTTAACAATAATCAAGTAAGTTAAGTTCTTTTCATTTGTGTGTCTGGAGGAACAGGCTCTAAAGCATTAGAACTGCTGCATTTCTTTTATATCAGTTCCTTTAGATAAATATAATTTTATACAATTTATTCCACATTCTCCTAAAAGCAAAAGATTGTCAACCCAAAGGATATGAAATTCTTAAAAAAAAAAAAACCAAACAGTTGTTTTTATATTCTTCCTTTTCAAATTTTAGGAAGTAATTATAAATAATTTGAAAATGTGATCATGGAATTGTAATGTAATTAAAATAGTACCTTTTATAAGGTACCAGAAGCATATTTTAAGCACATTTTTCACTTGTCTGCTTCTCATATGTGTTGCTTAAAGGCTTTCAAAAGTAAACTGTAATATCTAAAAGGGTAATATCTAAAAGGATTTTTTTCAGTTGTAAATAAAATTGAAAATTATATAGCTTTCAGAGAAAAAATATTGAAAAAATAAAATTATATACTTAAAATTAATAGTCTTTTAAAGATAATTTAGCTGAGTATGTTTGATATGTTTATATAACATTGCTAATGGAAAGAATGATATGTGGTTTATTAAGGGCACTTGTAAGAGGACATTAAAGCAAACAGGTATTGGCATTGGAAAAAAAAAGATAAAGAATATAACAACCCTATATTATAACTAGTTCCCATGGTAAATAAGCACTGTTTTTAAATTACGTGGATCATATATGACTCTTCTTTTCGATGTGTATCAAACTCATTCTGGTAAATTGGTGATGAATCTGATCCATATGTGTGTAAATGAAAGTGTAGCTTCCTAGAGCTTCATCAGTGTTATTCCTATCATTCTGGATTTTTAAAATATTTCATAGATTAAAGAAACCATAGCTACATTCCACCTGTAACAAAAGAAGTTTACAGCAAATTTAATATAACTAAATTTAATAGTAGTTATCTCAGCTGATATAAGTCCATCTGAAAAGTCTTAAAAGGCTACGATGCTTCATAATCAGAGCTACTAGTTCATCATAATTTATATTATTATAAGAATAATTTTCCCTAATGTTGAACTTGCTGCACCAAGTCAGTGCTAACTGGTAATAATACTCTCACGTGGTACCAAATTTATCTAGCTGTAGTTAGGTGAAGCTTTCTTTGGGTATCTGTTAGGCAGAATCTCTCTGCTACCATACTCACAGAATAGTTATTTGAAAGGCAGGTGCTCATATAGTCTACATCTTGATCCAGCAAAGAGCTGGATTCATCTTTGTATGCTGTGAATAATAGTACTAAGATGTTTGGACTAGCACAGTGTATAAAATTAAGCCCCTGTGTAACTTCCTTTCAGAACCAACCTGACGTAAATTAAATGTTGTATTGTAGGAGAAAAGTACTATGAATAAATACAAATCTACTTGCCCAAGCCCAGTAAAACTATGTTTTTCTGGAAACTAAGCATGGGTATACATTTACATGGCTACTATTTCCACTAAATGGATTAGACTATGTGAAGGACATCTGCCTCTAGTTAAAATCAATGAAAGCTCTTGGACAGGGTTTTTTCATAGATTGTCTAAGCAAGGATCTCATCCTTTGCCCCAATTCTTTTTTTTGCCCCAGCCATTCTGGAAACAATACTCAGCATTCAGAATGCAAAAATGTTGATTCAGCAAGATTATGAGTTTCCACAACTGGAAAGAAATTCTGAGGAAGTAAGGATGCTTTATGAGATGTCATAGTATTATTAATTTCTGTATTAAATTTTCAGTGCTCAGATTGTGGTCTGTTAAACAGCTTTTGAAAAAAACTAGGTTGAAGTGTGCTGGTTTCTTTTTTGCTAACAAATATGATTACTCTGTTTCAGCTCAGAGAGTCATTTAAGGATCTCAAAAAGAAATTCAACAATTTGAAGTTTAACTACACAAAGAAAACTGAAAAAGCTCGAAACTTGAAGTTACTTAAAATACAGATTCAGCAAGTTGATACATATACACAGAAAATACAGGTAATATCAGAAATTTTAGTCTTAGTGAAGGCTTCATTGTTGAATTGCTGTGGCCTGTGCCAAGCAGATCAAAAGAGATGTAAAATTGTATTGTGAGCTTCTCTGTTACTCAGCTTTATATCCTTCCCCGTCTCAGTCACTGGCTAAGACATTTTTCACTGTTGTGTCCTTTTATTCTTCCATTTCCTTCAGTGAAACGATCTTAATTCATGACTTCTCTGTGTTCACTCCTTTTATCCTCCATTATTTTTCTACTTAATCTTTTATTCTTCTTGCCTCTGTTCCTTCACAATGTGTGACCTAGTCTTTCCTTTCCTTAAAAAAAAAAAAACAAAATAAAACAAATACCCCATCAAAATCAACAAATCAACAATAAATGTGCACATATTCCCTCTTACATTCAGCTAGTTTCTTGTCTTTCTCGTTTCATCATTTAAGTCTTCAGAACCTTTTTCTGCATCCATTGCCTGGAGTTGATCATGCTCATTTGCACCTTAGAACCATGCTAGCCTCACCAATTCTTTGCATTCACCAGAAACTCTTCTTCCAAAGCCTCCAATGACCTTTTTCATTGCCAATCAGAACTAGCACTTTCTGTTTCTCTTGCCCTGCCAGTCTCTTCCTTCACAACTTTTTTGAGAATTTCAGTAGCTTCTGATTCTATTTTTGCTATTTCTTTTGTTGTCATTGACTATTCCTTTTACAACCTTTCCCCCCCCCCCCTTTCTTTGCAATTTCATCCACAAATGCAAATTCAAATCACAGAATCATTGAGGTTGGAAGGGACCTCTGGAGATCATCTAGTTGAAATTCCTTCCTCAGAGCAGGGTCAAGTTCAAAAGGTTTCTCTATGTCATGTCCAGCTGGGTTTTGAATACCCCCAGAGATGGAGACTCCACAGCCTCTGTGGGCAAGCTGTTCCACCCTCAGAGTAAAAAAAAGTGTGGTGTGGTGTTTTGTTTTGTTTTTTCCTTAAACAGAATTTCCTGTATTTCAGTTTGGGTCCATTGCCTCCTGTCTTTTCACAAGACACCACTAAGATGAGTCTGGCTCTCTGTTTTCTTTACTCCTTCCCATCATGTTTTTATACACATTGATAAGATCCACCTTGAGCCTTCTCTTCTCCAGGCTAAAAAATACCAGCTCTCTCTGTCCTTGTATGACACATGCTCAGTCACTCAGTCATCTTTATGGCCCCTTGCCGGATTTGCTGCAGTATGTCCAGGTATTCCTTGTACTGGGGAGCCTGAAGTGGACACAGGGCTCCAGATGTAGCCTCACTAGTGCTACGTAGAAGGGAATAGTCACTTCCTTTGACCTGTTGGCAACACTCTTCCTACCAGTGTATATTCTTACAAGTGTATATGTGGACAGTTCATGAAATACTTTCCTATTTTAAATCAATCTCTTCCTTTCCAAACAAGAATCAAGGACCTGTCTTTTTGCATCACTTGTAAAACAGCTAGCACAACGAAGTCTTGATCAACTGTCAAGACCAGTGTTCCCAGGATATAAAATATATAAATGTATATATGTATACCATCTTATCCTAAAATTTACAGGTCATGTTTATACCAGACATCATAAAGTACTAGTATGAATACTTGTTCCCCTTGGTCTTTGGGATTATACTAGATTATCACTGATGTTGCTTACTTCAGATTCTTAAGCAATATGTTAATATTCTAGGACATAAATAACTGTGATGATTAAATTGACTTGTATTTGGTCAAAGACTCCAAAGGCTTAGTAATATTTTTTCCTTTCCAGGTTCAATGAAAGTTCAAGATCCCATGTTTTATTACTACAGATATTTTGTTATTTTTAAGATGAAAAATGTAACTCAATTCCACCCTTAGTAAATACAGTTTACATTGATTTTAATCAGCATTGTAGAGGCCCTCCAGTTTCCTTTGATTTTTGAAAAAGCAACTTGTACTTGTAATTTTTAAAACACAGGACAAGAAATAGGTTTGTGTGGTTTTTCCCATGTTTTTTACTTCTTATTTCTAAAAATAGAAACATTTTTGTTGCAGTATTTAACATTGCTACATCTTTTAAACAGATTCTTAAAAAGAAGATGGATCATTTAGAGAAGAAAGTCATTGGCTCTGTAGCAAATGAACCTAATGCTAAAGTTAGAGTCCTCTTGGGGTCAATCAGTGACTTACAAAAACAGCTGAATGACTTTAGCAGAGTTGTGGAGGATTACAAGCAAAATCTGGATCTCGTGGAGCATCTGCAACAGATGATGGAAGAGGTACTAGTAAACCTGAGATCCCCACTGTGGCTGTAATAATGATCCAAGACTGGGATAGATAAAAGTGCTTATAACTACTTCAGGCAAAAATCTCTGACTTCCAAAAGTAGTAGATTGGTAAAAATCTGTATTTTCTTCTATTTTTTTTCTGTGTAACTTTGTGGAGAAAGGGAGAAAGAAACATGCAACGTGACCATATTCTTGGACTGCTATGCATGTGACTGGGGTCTCCGCCTCCATATGACTTTCATAGTGATTCAGCATATCTATGATCATACTCATGAGCTCATTTTCTCTAAGTATATTCTGAGGCAACACAGAAAGTGCCACAAGGCCCTCTTTGATAGCTGTCAAACCACAATACCCACTTTGTTAGTTGTCAGGAAAGCTGTCTGTGTGGTGTGTAATTCTGGAACTGAAATGTAAAATATTCAGTTCCTTAAAAGCAGCATATAATGTTTTGGTTGGACTCGATGATCTTAGAGGTCTTTTCCAACCTCAATGATTCTATGATTCTATAATTTTTTTTAATCGACTTAATTGTTAAGTATAGGTACTTTTTCTTTTTTTTTGTGAACTGCAGTCTAAGTCTTTTGGAGATTTCTGTAACTTCACTTTAGTGTGCCTGAGGACCACCTCATGCATTGCCTTTTTTTAAAAGAAAAAAAATTTTGTAACATTATTTTCCCTCTTGCCACATTGTGTTGGTGCATCTGCTGTGATGCAAGCACATTCCTGTCATCATTGTTTATTTTTAGAAATAACACTTTTCATATCTCCAAAGTGATCTAAATGCATGATAAATAAATTCCCTTAATGATGGATCACAATACTTAAGTTTTGTTTAAAAGATGTTTTCAGTGTCCAGTAATCTGATCAATATGTCATTTCCTATATCGTTAGCAAAGCAATTTGTTACCATTTGTTGTGTATGTACATTTTTAAACTCCCCCCTTACTTTGAGGGAAATAAATTATTTCCTAGAGCTAAAATTTAAGATTGCTTTTTTTTTATTCAATGTAAAGTATCACCTTTTGCTCAACAGTTTTCTTTCAGTGAATAGGCACAGACTTAAATACTGACTTTAATGGCAGTGAAAAATGTTGATTATTAGCTGCTTGCTGTAATGATGCAGTACGGGTCATACTGAGTGAATACCAGATTCTATCCTCCTCTGAGTATTGTTAACCAAAAATGTTTATTAAGGGTATGTTCTAAAGTACATTCTTGTCAGTAGGAAGATTGCTAGCAACTTTAATGGTTGCTGAGACCAAAAACCCTGTTTGCTAGTAGACTAAGTCTAAGCAACCTTGCTGCCTTTATAGAGGTATAGCTGTGGCCATGAAATGAGTTTTGCGAAATTAGTCAGTTGATATACAGGGTGGAAAGAACTCAGAAATAAAACATATGTTTGCAGAACCATTAACTAATAGCCTCACCATGCTTGTAAGATGAGCATGGATCTAGTATTTAAAGAAAATTTAACAGATATTAATATTTGAAGCAGCATTGGTAATGAACAAATGTTTTTCAGGTTTAATTAAAATCAGAAAATTTAAGACATACTGTATGCCACTGATTATGGAAAGTCTAAGAATAGTCCAGTCTATTCTACAAAAGCTTGAACTACTGATAATAATTCATTATAATGCAGTGTTTTTATCCCTCAGTGTCAATTTTGGTTTGAAGATGTGAGTGCAACAGTCGTTAGAGTTTGCAAGTATTCTGCGGAATGCAAAACAAAAGAAGCGATAGAGACTCTCTACAAGCAATTCAATAAGTTTATTGAGCCTGCAGTGCCTCAACAAGAAGAAAAAATTCAGCAGATTATGGACCTCGCTAAACGGTTATATGGTGAGGAGCTGTCCGGTAATGTACTGTGGAGAAAAAATACAATAACTTAGGACAGGAGGAAGCAGATTCCTAGATTTGTTCATTTAAGAAGCAAATCCCATGAAGTTTAAAAAACAAATGTTGTTTTCAAGTATTGACTGGAAGAGGTGAAGGATTTCAGAACAAATATTTAAAAAATAAAGATATGAAAGTACTCAACAGTCTGGTAGTTTTCGGTATACAGACTGAGTTCACCTTGAAATCAAAGTGTGAATGTCTTTGTAATATTTATGAGCCTGGAATTCAGACTTCATGGCTTATGCTATATCATAACAGGCAAGCCTTTGAAGTCAAAGTACATTACAGTGATATACCTCAGTGCTGAGTGAATTTTCTACATTAACACTGTGAATAATTAGTGGTATTTTGTTGCCAACTTTCTTAAGCATTTTATTAGCAAAAAAAGTAGATTGTTATGTAAATACTGTATTTGCAATTGTATTGATTTGGAACATTGTTGTCCAAAAAGAATGAAGGTCAACAAACTTCAGGTTTTGCTTTTTTTCTCCCATGCGTAATGTTTATATACTTGTTGAAGTTATTTTATCCAAAGATAAGGTGACCATCCAAATGTGCAAGGATACTGTGTGGCCTATCAATTCAAGTAGTAAATCTGAAAAAATTTCAACAGAGTCAAACTGTGCTTTTAAATTCCTCTAATTTAGTGTTTAAAAGACTATTTAGAGAGCACAGATCGCTTCCCCCCCCCCCCCCCTTTTTTTTTT